GGTGGTGGGGGGGGTCAGAGGACAGGAGCTGTCAACGGAGAGGGGGTGTTGGAGATTCTGAGAGGGCCGGGAGCGGGGTCAGGGCCCGGGAGCGTTCCAGAAGCGCATCTGAGGGACTTGCCACCTGGCCCTCCGTGAGCCGGTGGGAGGCGGTGGGAGGCAAGGCCGAGCTGCCCGTGCACGCTTAGCTACTGCGATGCTTTCATAAGAAAGCTGTGGGGGGCGGGGGAGGGGGGCTGGGCAGGTCATTAGCTATAGGAGGACGTGAGTAAAAGGAGATGGGGTTTTATTTTCCCAGTGGGAAAAGTTTCAGCTCGCTTCCTGGGTGAGGGCGAGGAACCAGAACACACAAAGCCATGCTCTTCTGGGCTTCAGGGGCGGTGTGTGTGTGTGTGTGTGTGTGTGTGTGTGTGTGTGGCGGGGCAGGAGCTGTGCCTTGGCCCCTCCTGGAGGGGGTGACTGTTCAGGCTGATGGAAGGGAACTCGCGTCTCCAGCATGTGAGCTGTGGGAGCAGAGGCTGCCTGGGCACCGTGGGCTGATGCCCAGGCTCATGGGGTGTCTGGGAAGAGCTCCCCTGGGTGCGAACGCCCCCACAGGCAGTCCCCGCACTGATGCCGGGAGTCCTGGCGTGGCCCAGGCAGGGTCCTTTTCCAGCACCTTCTGGGGCAGGAGAGGAGAAGGGCCATCCTCCAGCTCACACCCAGGGTCGCAGGCCCGGGACCCCGCCTGTGGGTGGACGTTGTCTGCTCCGATCCCCGACAGAAGCCAGAATAGGGTTCCCCGGCTCTGGGAAACCCACCAGAGTATCTCGAGACGCAGGTTCCTCTTTCTGTTCAGCGCCGGCGGGTGGGCAGCGGCCTCCCCGTGACTGGCTGCGGTCGCCGCGTCAGGGTTTCCCTTCCCAGTCACGCTTCCTACCCGGCCAGATAAGCTCAGCCGCTGCGGGGGCGCGGGGACCCACAGACACTTGGGAAGGGGGGCTGGGGATGGGCAGGGGGTGAGAGCAGGCCCCCCAGAGCCTGCTTCCTCTCCTCCGGGCCCCTCACACCCCCTCCTTTACGCCTCAAGCTACTGATTCAGTCCACGTCTTTTCAGAGCCACCCAGACAGCCTGGGCTCATCTGGAAACGTGTGTGTGTGTGTGTGTGTGTGTGTGTGTGTGTGTGTGTGTGTGAGAGAGAGAGAGAGAGAGAGAGAGAGAGAGAGACTGTTCAAGGGGGAGGGGAGGCCCGAAGTGGTTCCTGCCTCCAGCGCTTTGCACGGAGTCTGTTCCTCTGACTGGCCGACACTTTCAGGAAGCAGGAAACAGGCAGAAGTTTCCCCAAAATGTGCGTTCCTGGGAGAAGGGGGGCAGCGGGAGGGAGGCTCGCGGCTGCATGGAGGGGGTGGGTCTCTGAGAGGCAAACAGCCCCAAGGTGCTGCCGACCCGGATCTGGATCGTGGGCCCGACTGGTCCGTTGGACCAGCCATGTTGATTATAAGAGGCTCCTGTCGCTGGGCCTGGTACTGACGAACCGACCCCGGGGCCTCGGGTGGCGACCTCCGCCTGGGCAGTCTTTCTGGGCAGGAGGCGGTCAGGCCTCGGCCTCTCGGGCCTTTTGTCAACGTGTCCTTGGACCCCACATAAGTTAAAGGACTGCTTTTCCACTTTAAACACCAGGTCTGGTGTTTTCCATGAGGCCAAAGGGTTTCGCAGGCTGGGGGTTCTTTGGGGAGAGTGGCAATTGGCAGGCCTCTCAAGCCCCTCGCTCCCCGCACAAAGCGTAGCTCCGAGACATTTGTGGTCTGGCTCCTCCCTGGGGGTGAAGTGATACTTCAGGCTTTAATGTTTAAAGACGCAGCCCCCTGTGTGCTGCCCTGAGGTTGAGTACAGACACTTTCCTGGTTCTAAGAGCGGAGAACCCTCCGGGGACGCCCTGAAGACCAGGCTTCCTTCTGCAGCCCATCAAGGAGGCAGGCCTGGGTTTCTGTTCGTTAGTTTTTAAAAAATATATGTGTATTGATTTCAGAGAGAGGAAGAGAGAGAGAGAGACACATCAATGATGAGAGAGGATCATTGACCCTCTGTCTCCTGCATGCCCCCTACTTGGGATCGAGTCTGAAACCTGGGCACGTGCCCTTGACCAGGAATCGAACCCTGACCTCCTGGCTCATGGGTCCAACCTCAATCTCTCAGCCACGCCCGCCGGGCGAGGCTGTTTTTAAGACAAAGCACTTAGGGCGAGCGTGTCCCTGCGCTAGCCGAGGTTGGCTGCCAGTGCATTAGACGTGCGCACCTTGCCCCATCCGCCTCCAGGCCTTTCAACGGCCAGTGCTTCCCAGAAGGACTGCCCTTGGGACGCAGGGCGGCCAGTGAGTGCTCTCTCCCTCACTCCTGCTCACACCTCATGACCTGGAAGCAGCACCGTGCAGGGGAGGCTGACACGCTGAGCACCCTGGGGGGATGATGCATCCGCAGGCAGGGGCTGAGCCGAAATGCAAGGCTTTGGAGCGCATGGTCCTCAGGCTCCTGCGGGCTCCCGGGATCAGCTGGGCCCTCTCCTGGCCCCTGATTTTTTTTTTTAATTGTGGTAAAATACACGTAAAATTTTACCATTTTAGCCATTTTTTAGGGCTCTTGTTTTTATCATTTTAACCATTTTAAAGTGTACAGTTCAGCCTGGTGGGTGTGGCTCAGTGGTTGAGCATCGACCTATGAACCAGATCACAGTTCAATTCCCGGTCAGGGCACATGCCCAGGCTGCAGGCTCAATCCCCAGGGGGAGGGGGAGGGGGCGTGCAGAGGCAGGCGATCAATGATTTTCTCTCATCATTGATGTTTCTATCCCTCTTTGCCTCTCCCTTCCTCTCTGACATCAATAAAAATATATTGAAAATAAAATGAAGTGTATAGTTCAGTGGCCTTAAGTGCACTCGTAGTCTTATACAGCCATCACCACTACCCAGTTCCAGAATTTCTCATCAACCCAACCCGAAACCCCTTGCCTATGAAGCAGTCACTCCCCTCTCCCCTGCCCCCAGCCCTGGGAAACCCCTCATGTTCTGTCTCCATGGGTTCGCGTGTTTCAGATGCATGGAATCACACAATATGTGGCCTTTCGTGTCTGGTTGCTTGCAGTTAGCATGATGTTTCAAGGTCACCCACGCTGTGCATGTGCCAGGACTTCATTGCTTGTTATGCCTGAACGATGTTCCCAGAAGTCCTTTATCTTTTCTCCTCTTTTTTAATTAAATTGATTGGGGTGACATTGGTTACTATGAACATACAGGTTTCAGGTGTGGGGTTCTTTTCTATCTGTAAATTGCACTGTGTGCCCACCATCCCAAGTCAGATCTTCTCCCGTCACCATATCTTAGGACCCCCTTCATCCATCCCCTCCCTCCCCTGCCTTGAGTCCTTAAGTCCTTAATTGGGAGAATTCACAGGACTCCCTGAATGGTACCAAATGTCACCACTGTGGGCCAGGATCCGTCCTGTCACCGTTTCCAAGTGGGTAGGGGAGCGGTTCTGTGAGAGGAGATGGAGCAGCAGGCAGAGCCCCCAGGCCAGGCCGGAGGGGAGAGCTGGGCTCAGGCCGGGAAGGGCTGAGCTCACCACGAACAGGCGCTGTGTGTCTCCCACAGATGCAGGAAAAGGCCAAGGAGATCTACATGACCTTCCTGTCCAGCAAGGCCTCGTCACAAGTCAACGTCGAGGGGCAGTCCCGGCTCAACGAGAAGATCCTGGAAGAACCGCACCCCCTGATGTTCCAGAAGCTCCAGGACCAGGTAACCTGACCTCCTTGCCTGCGCTGTGACTGGAAGCCGCGTGTCTCCGCAGCCGGGCACGTGGAGGAGGAGCCGAGGTTGGCAAAGCAGAGAGGCCTGGAAAGCCAGGCTCGGGATTTCACCCCCAGGCGGCTCCCCACGCCTGTGTGCTCTGGTCTACACACCGTGTGAACCGGCAGGGCGATCTGTCTTCTCAACACAGGTCAGAAGGGAGGCTGGGGCTGTTTGAGGCACCCGCACTGAGGAAGCACCCTGTGATACCCGCTGAAGGTAGGCGCAGACAGAAAATTCTAGAAAGCGAGCACAAAGACTCAAAATGCCCGGGAACCTGGAGCTGTTTTTGTGTGCAAATGTCCAAACATCATCACCTGCGCCAGGCGGCCCAGTACCGTAAGCTAGTTCATAATGAGGCCCCGGAGTTAAAATGAAGGGCTACTATCTGGCAGCATACGTGTTCCACGTAAAGCAGGAATAATCAGGTTTAAAATAGACCTAGAAGGGGCAAGTTGGTTTTCTGGAAAATTCTCCTATGAGGAACGGCCATGGTCCTGGGCAACGGGGTGAAAGTGCACCCCAGGGGTTCTCATAGACACGGGCTTGCAGAGGTGGCTCCGTAGCACGCCCCGTTCTTGTGAAACGTTACGCACACCTGGGCACAGGTTTCTGACTTCTGCTGGCCCTGTTCTCACTGGGGAAGCGAAGGCCTTCCGTGGCACACAGGTGGAGACTAGCTTGTAGCCTGACCCAGCAGTCCTCCATCTGAGCACGCCCGGAGCCAATGCGATGGTCCCAGGCGGGATGAGACGTTGCCCTCCCAACAAGGCCCCAGTTGACGGATGCGGGTGCTGCCCGTCCTGGGACTGCACTTTGAGGACCACTGGTCCCTCCAGGGCTGGCCTTTGTGTACCTGTGCACAGAGCCCATAGCACGCCTGCCCCAGCAGCCATCAGCTAGAAAACAAATGCACACGTGAGAGGTAGCTGGAGGATGTTTTCCAATCGACACAGTGGCAAGTGCAAACTCCCCTGAATTCCGAATCAGATGTGGGTGTTGAAGGAACCCAGTGCGCACGGGGGACTTGCTGAGGGCCTCCTGGAGGTGGTGATTTTGAGTCAGCGGAAAGGACGCCATGCGTATGGGTTTGTGGAGGGAAAGGAAGTGGACTGTCTGACCCAAAGGCAATTATTTTGTGGCTCTAGCTGCACGAGGATATCTGCCCCACCGGGACCTCAGTCTTTTCAAGGTTTCCTGTTGTATTTTAAAGTGCTGCCAGGGTTGAGAGCTGTACTGAAGCCCCTGAGTTCTAAGCATTTCCACGAATCACAGTATCTGCTCTTCAGGGGTACCCTCTGTGCCTGATGCCCACTGGGCATGCTGCACCCACTGCCTCGCCAGGGAATATTACTCCCACTTTGATGATGAAGAAGCAGGGTTCAGGGGTGCTAAATGGTTTCATGGCACAAAGTCACACCTGCTTTCACAGGCCACCCTCTGCTGCATTCATGGGCAGCCCGTCGCTGCTCCTCCAAGCCCAGGAGACCAGCTGGAGCAGAGGGGTTGGGAAGGCCTTGTCAGTACAGGCCCCTTTCCCGGCTGCAGACCCCAAGGGAGGAACAGGGAGGGAGATGGGCTGATGCCCCTCTATGCTCCGGGGGACCCAGCCACACCCACTAGAGCAGAGGTTCTCAACCTGTGGGTCGAGACCCCTTTGGAGGTCGAACGACCCTTTCACAGGGGTCGCCTAAATACATCCTGCATATCAGATATTTACATGACGACTCATAACAGTAGCAACATTACAGTTATGAAGTAGCAACGCAAATAATTTTATGGTTGGGGGTCACCACAACATGAGGAACTGTATTAAAAGGGTCGCAGCATTAGGAAGGTTGAGAACCACTGCACTAGAGTCATATGTGGGGCGCTTTGCTGGCACAGAAAGGAGGCGCGCAAGGGACAGAGGAAGAGCTTTCTAAGTGACAAGAGAAAAATGTTTAAAAAATAACTTTTATCTACCTAACTATAGAAGTCACACGTGCTCAACAACAACACCGACAAAGAATCATTATTTCATACCTGGACAGGACCCCTAACTAGCATCGGATCGCTAGACGTCGGTCCTTCTTCCTACAAATGCATCCATGCACCCATATCACAAATACGGCCCAACTCTTTTAGTTCAAACTATTTTACAGAAAGAAAGGACTTTGAATCCACTATATATGGTTAACAAATGCTACCTTTTGTTGCCTGCCTGCCAAGGGACAGGCCAGGGCTTAAAGGGGAAAAAAAAGAGAGAGAGAAAAGGAAGTACTTTTATACCCTGTTGTTAAAAGTCAGTCTCTGAGCGGGAGAGAGAGGCCCTCGCTGTCTCTCTGAGGCTCACTTGGCTGACGACAAGGGGTGGGAATCTGAGCTGATGCCACAGCCAGTCCCTCTGAAGGGCCTCTGGGTGCTGTTTTGCCTCAGAAAACTCCGCCTGTCGGGGGCCTGGTAACCGTCAAAGCGTGTGCTCAGCGCGCTCTGTGAGTCTCTGCTCCCCGAAGGCCCCCACAAAAGCCCGGGTGTCCTGAGCGAGGGAGTTTGGAGCTGAGGGGAGCCAGTTGGGCACCACAGGAGAACCAGCTCCGTGGCTTTGGCTGCGTGCAGCCCCGCTGGCTGCCCTGTCTCGGAGCTGTCTGAGCAGGCAGCTTGGTGCCCAGGAGTCCCCAGCTCCTGGTGACCTCAGCCCCCCCCCCCCACTTCTGTTACAGTGGGCGGCGCTCTGTGCTCTGGAGGCGGCTGATGGGGCAGCGTGGACTTTGGGGCACAGCCGGGACCTAGAAGGATGGGAACGTCCGCCCCGAGCATCGGGTGAGACGAGCCCCCATCCGTGCACCTTCTCCTGTTGGGGGTCCCCGCTCAGGTCCTGTTTGTTCGTGGTTTACACACAGTTCTCTCAGGCTCTGGGGCTTCAGTCCGCAGTAGATTGGAAACGCTGGTAGAGGCTGTGGGGAGACGGGCGGCGAAATCGGCAACAGCTGCGGGGGAGGGGGCAGAAAAATGGATACTAAACACAAAGCACAGCACAGCGATCTGGAGCCCCCGAGCTCGGGGACCCCCACCCACACGCCGCCCGGGGGCGTCCCTGGGCCGTGGGGCGGTGACGGGGTCAGTGATCTTAATGACCCCAAAGCGTCAGGCAAACTTAAACTGTGGTCAGTGCATTCTGTGAAGAACGTGTTAGACATTTATAATAAGCACTTCGTCAAAATGATGTACTTTTAAAAATTATTCTGTATTTAATTAGGTTTATTGGGGTGACGTTGGTTAATAAAATTATATAGGTTTCAAGTGTACAGTTCCCTAATAGATCACCTTTATATTGCATTGTGTGTTCAGCTCCCCAAGTCAGGTCTCCTCCCGTCACCATAGAGCTGGCCCCTCAAACCCTTTACTGTCTCCCCCCAACCCTTTCCCTCTGGTAACCCCCATACTGCTGTCTGTGTCTATGAGTTCTTGTCAAGATGCTAAGAGAAGTTTATAATTCTGTTATTTGGAAAACTCGTGTGAGCGGAGTGAGTGTTTCATAGAAGTCGGCTCTGAAAATGAAGCCCTTTAAAAGCTGTGTGGTGGCCCGTATTGTGCCCCACGAGAGATTTAAAACCAAATCCTGCTCCTGCAAGCTTCCCAGCACCCGCTCCCGCACCTCTCTTGCTCTGAAGCCTCTGGTTTGAATGGAACAGGAAGGAGATTGGAGAGGATGGAAGGTCAAGGTCGTTGCAAACGGCCACTCGAGGTCTTGGCTTTGTCGGGCCATGAAAGAGAAGGACAGGCTTGAGGGGAGCAGGTGCTCACCCTCCCTGGAAGCTTAGGGCCCCAGGGCCTGCACGGGAGGCGGGTTCTGAGTGCTGCCAGGATGCCCTCCCCAGGCTCGGGGTTGGTGCTGGGTCTGCTCTGGGGAAGGCGGAGCGGAGGTGCTGTCTCCATGGAAAAGGAAGCCTTGGCCTCTGATGCTTAAAAAAAAAAATGAAAAACACAATCAGAAAGACTTGTGAGATGTGGGCGCCCGGCCACATCCCGGGCAGAGGAAGGGCTGTGCGCTGGGCAGGCCCCTTTCAGCAGCGGCATTTCTGTGAATTTCCCCAGAACTGAGAAGTTTCGGATGGACGGATGGAGGGGAGCAGGAAGGGTTGGACCCGCTGGTGAGGACCGGAGCTGGGGGCGGGGCTGCCATGCCTCCTGGGGCCATGGGGTGGGGGTCCTCTCCCACCCTCTGCTTCTCTAAGTCTGCGTGGCGGCTGGAGCTGGGGATTCTGGAATCCTCCGTCTTGCGGGTGCCCGCGGACACTCGCTCCCCAAGGCCCAGTCCGGCCCAGAAACCGGCCTTTTCCAACGTGCAGAGCCAGAAAGGGCAGGTCGTGGGGTTTCGTTCAAATTCGAGGAACGTTGGCGCCCCGCGCCTCCCACAGCTGTTCGCCTTATGAGGGGCGGGGTGGGAAGGGCAGTATCTCAAAGACTTTGAGATTTTTTTTTTTAACTTTGAAATGGTGTTTAGGGGAAGAAGAGAGGGGGTAGGCATCAGAATAGCATTTAACTCTCCTCCTCATGGCAGAAAGCAACCGTTGCCTGTGCACAAAGAATGTCATTTGGGCTTTGGATTGGAGTATCATGGACTCCGGACAAGTGAACAAATTGTCACTGCCCCCCTCCCGCCCCCCGCAATGGGGCTGCCCAGGACCCACGGCCGGTGAGGGGGTTTTGCCCCAGCAGGGGTCTCTCTCCACCCATGTCCAGCCTCTTTCTGGAGTTCTGATCCCCCCACACCTTGTCCATCTCCGTCTCCGGTGAGCCTGCCTGGGAAGCGGGAGCACTGTCCAGGGCCACCATAGCTTCCGGGACAGGCCTGACCTCACCTGCTCTCTGCCAGCTGCCCACAGACCTTCTCCCGGATGCACCCCATCCCCACTTCAGAAGAGGGGGAGTCGGTCTTCACCTCCAGGCTGGAGGGCCGGTAGGAG